TATATTATTTATGTTTGGGTTAATTATGTTCTATTAAGGTTTAGTTATGAGGGTCTAGGGGTCAAAACATTTTTTAGTGTTTAGAATTTTAAAGTATAGGGTTTAAAAATCTATTATTAGTGGCATTTTTGCAAATGAGCACTCCTAAATAACATTTTTACAAATGTGCACATAAAAAGTGGTTTTTTGTAATTTTTCCTTATTTTATTTAGATTACTATCTTAATTAGAAGAAATTCTTCGCTCTAAATGGGCAATTATTTATTTTAGTCAAATATAAAATTATTACCTTTTATTTTAGTAATAATAAAGAAAAAAATTTAGTATGTGTCACATATCAATGTGTTTATCTTATTTAGATTATTATTTTAATAAATTTTTGTTCTAACTTTCAAATTGGCAATTAATTGTTTTCATCAAATATAAAGTTACTAACTTTTATTTGAGTAATAACAAAAAATATCTTAGTATGTGTCGCATATATATAAACAATGTTGATAAGAAAATATTCATTCCAAGACAAACAAAAAACAGATTCACAAAAACATAGAAAATCATCTATTTATTTTTGCATCATGAGATCTGCAACTTTATTTATGGTTTCTTGTGTTCTCATCTTTTTCATGATGCATAATCGTAAAGGTAATATATATATATTGTTTTTCGATCGGTTACTTTTATAATATGTAAACTAAAGAATTTATGAAAACAATTGTGGTTTTGCATTACTAATTTCATTTCTAAAAGGCGTTTTATTCACCATCTATATATTTTGTGGTTGATATAAAATAGTGGAGGCAGAAGACCTTGCGCCTATTGTTGTCTACTTTCATGGAACTGTTTGCGATCCCGATCCAATCCAGGCTGCAGGGCAATGCAGATTTGAAGTTAACAATGATAATTATCCTCGTTGTGATTGTAAAACTGTAGGCCAGGATCATCAATGTGAATGTATGGCTTTTTGATATGATTTATTGTATCTCCATAACTAAAATATTTTTAATAAAAACTAAATAATAATTAATGTCGTGGCAAGAATTTTGTTGATGCATAGAAA